GGCCCACCACTCCTGGCCTCAGACCTTGGCCTGCCAGCAACACACCTCACCCCTCCAGCCTTTTGCTCCTGTGCCCCTTCCGCCTGCGTGCCCCGTCCCCACTCCTACTTCTCTTCTGGGGCCCTACAGAGGCAGTGACCCTGTTCTGTAGCCATTGTCTCTCCCTGCTACAGGATGCTTGTCCTCGCTTCACGGGGCACTTGCCAGTTTCTGCCCTGTGGGAGCACAGGGGATGTCTTGCTGTGCCTCTCACCCCCAGGCCTCCGGTCTCCACCAGGACCTGCCTCATGCCCTGGCGCAAGGGGACTGGATACTTGACTGGCAGTCACGTTGGTAAAAAAAAAAAAAAAAAAACCTAGGAAACGGGGGTGGGTCCACCTCTGTCCAGGCTCCAGCCAGTGTGCTCACAGGCCTTGGGGGGCATCCCGTCACTGTCAGCATGCCTGATGCTGCAGGCTCTATTCTAAATGATGTTTAAGGGATCCCCTGCGGGGCTGCCTGCCCACCTGGCCTGGGATTCTCTTCTCTAGCTCCTGGCTCTTGCCTTGAGGTGAGAAAGGTAGCAGAAAAGAGCTACAGAAGTGTATCTGCCTAGGTATCTGAAACAAGAGCATAGAAAGGGCAAAGTTTCTGGACTCTGGCCACATGAGAAGTTTTATTTTTTCGTGGTGGTGGTTTGTCACTTGAGTTGCCTTTTGATCCAGGGCGTATCCACATTCTGAGCAAGAGCCTCAGTCCTGACTCGGGGGTTAGCATGATGACAGGAGCCCAGGGTCCGGGGCTTAAACCAGAAATGTGGCGGAGAGCTAGAGTCCTGGCTTTACCTAAAACACCTTTGTTCCTTGGACACAGTGAGGTCCCTCTTAGGCCACCTGAGTTAAGAGATTGAGGAGACCTCAGGCCAAACGTGGGGGGTGTGGAGTGCCCTGCAGCCCTGATGGGCGTGGTGAAGGGGGGCCTGCAGCTGGGCTAAGGAGCAGTTTTGCGGTTAGTGCCCTCAGCTATGCTTTTGATGGTGAGCTGCTCTCACGGGCCTAGGATTTGAGAGGACGATGTATGCCGGGCTTGAAAGAGGGCCTGAAAGGCCGACTGACCAAGGCTTGGTTTCCAGAAGACAGGGTGGGGTGGCTGGGTGTTTTCTAAGACCCTCTCATAGCTCAAGGCCTGAGGTCAGGGCTCCCCACTCATGAGTCTGGAAGGTACATTCAGCTCCTTAGCCCAGGGGGAAGCTGACCTGGGTGCCTGTAAGCTGCCTGTGCCCAGGTAGAGAGAGGGAGGGACTGCTGGGTGATGTCCTGCAGGGACAGGTACAAATGCCCATTCCTGGGCCATTTGCGGAGCGCTTTGGAGGGGATTGCTGTGGCTTGGATGGGGCTAGGGACTTCAGGGGTGAGGGAGGGGCTTTTGCTGAAATTGCACACCTGTGCCAGGAGTCCCTTCTGAGGCTCTGCAGGTGGGGGCCATGTGACTGGCTGGCCAGGCTCTGCTCTGTGATGGCCATGGTGAGTGTTTATTCTGTGCCTGTCATGTGTTGGGGGCCAAGCCATGCTGTGGTACGTGTTGTCTCACCCCACATGATGAGGTGAGTCGGTCTTTGTCATTCTTTGTGCCTAAGTAGAGTGAGGCCCAGAGAGGGAAGCAACAAGCCAGGGTTATGCTGCTGGTGAGCTATAGGCTAGAGTCTAAGCCACCATCTGTCGTGGGAGGCTCTGTAATGTTCTGAGTTGGGAGGCCCTTCTTCCTGCCCCTCCTCCCATCAGGATCTTACCGGCAGCCCGGGTGGGCGCTGCAGGAGCTGCTTCTTGGGGTACCCAGGCTCTTGGGAGCTTGGCTCTAGCATGTAGAGTGGGACATTCTGGCCTGTTCTGGCTGGGGCTGTCCATCAAAGGCTTGGCAGGCAGCTGATACTGTGCAAAGCCCTTTGGGACTCAGCTTCTGGCTGGGCAAATCAGGGTAGGTGCAGTCCAGCCTAGCCACTGAGGAGGCTGGGTCTACATTAGCATGTGGCCAGGCCTGCATGTGGAGTCAGGGTCTTGCTCGGGAGGACAGTGAGGGCCTGGATAGCAGGGAGGGCTCTGGAGCCTGGTGACTGCCCTGCTGTGGACAGATCTCCTGGGCTGGGTGTCAGCTGGACCCAGGCCAGCCACCTTGTTTCCACCCAGGAGCATCCCGTGGGTACCTGGTGAGGCGCTGGCTGTGTGTGGGTATCAGCTTGTCTCTTGGCCGGGCTGCAGCATCTTGCTGGCTCACTGTCTTCCAGCTCTCAACTGAGCTGTTGGGATCTACGGGGCAGGGGCCCTACCTCTCCCCCAAGGAGGGCAAGTTTCAGTGCTTCTTTGTGGAATCCTATCACCTAAACCCGTGCTGGGTCTAGAGGCTGCAGGAGGAAAGGGGTGGGAGCTGGCGTGAGAGCTTGGATGTTCCTGCAGCCCCCGAGCTCTAAGGAGGGGCCTATTGGGAGGGGTATGCAGGCCACCTCTCTCTGCCTCAGAATAGCGGGGTTTCAGGGCAGTGCCGGGAGGTGAGCAGTCACACACGTGGTAACCTTGGTGTTCCTCAGGTCTTAGGATGCCATCCAAGCCTCTCACCCTCAGGTCCACACCCCCCCAGCTGGGCCACCCTGAAATAGAAGAGATGCCAGGTGGGTGTTGTCGCTGTTCTGCTCAGGCCAGTGGTGACTGCAGAGCTGAGCCCTGCCCGGGCAACCTCTCACCAGGAAGCATCGAGAACTAGAGTGCATATGGAGTGGTGTGGGGCCCTGGGGGGGGGCGGGGGCAGGGTCTCATAGTGTGCATCTGGCCAGGCTTTCTCATTGAGGGTGCCAGGCACTGGTCGTGGCTTCACTGAATATGGTTCTCTGTGGTTTGGCCTCCCTTCCAGGGGGCGGCCTGAAGTCTCCCCCTCCTGTGAGTTAGTAGTTAGATCGCGTGTTCAGCTTCCCTATGCCTTCTGCACACCCCAGCAGTCTTCTCTCTGGGGCTCGGGTTTGGCGAACCCAGGCCTCTGTCGGGCTCAGGCCCGCGGTGGGGGCTGTGATTAAAGGTATGCCCCAGGCCCTTGGTCTCTGTGCCTCCTACAGGGTGGCAGGGGCCTATGGCATCTGTGTCCCCCTCCTCTCCAGTCACCGCATCTCTGGCTTCTCCACTGACCTCTGGGAGTAGACAGGGTAGATTGCCTTTCCAGCCTGCTCCTCCTGTGAGCAGGCCTCAGCCCTTCCCAACTACTTCTCGGATCCCTTGGGTAACTGGCAAAGTGCTGGCTGAATGTGGGTATTGGCTTGTCCCTTGGCTGGGCCAGCAGCACTCTGCACCTAGCCTGTGTGTCCAGTGCTGGCACAGGCCCACCCCCATCAGACCCTTTTCCTCCAAACCTGAGCCCAGCCAGCGCCTCCTCCACATCTTGCACATTTTAATTTTTGACCTTAGAAATTGAGATTTTAGTGCACATAATCTGTGGGGTGTTTGTGTGGACACGGATTCAACGTGTGAGGCCTTTGTCCCCAACCAGCCTACCCCCGCCGGTCCTCAGCACGTAAGTCCCACCACTCACTAGACCCCAGGCCTGGCATATGGGTGCCAAGAGCTCACAGCCTACCCTAGCTCCCCAGCTCTGGGTGCACAGACCCCTGAAGTGGTGGGATGGCAGCGGGTGTTTACTGAGGACCCCGTGTGTGTGGATGTGGCCAGGCCTTTACTGCACTGCACCCCCCTCCCAGAAGGGTCCTGGACCTCAAGGGAAGCTTGTGGCCCAGTGGCTTTTTGGAGGTTTGCCACAGCTGGTGAGCCCAGGCTAGCTGCTGGCGAGACCTCTGATGGCGCTGTCTGCCCCTTTACCCCCAGCTGGCTGTGGGAGAGTCTCCAAGTGGAAATCCAGCCACCCTTGGCAGAACCCCCATGTGTCCCCTCAATGTTCCCTGACCTCTGCTCCTCCCCATCTGCCGCTGCAGGTTTTTACTAGTCAGGATCAGGTCTAGGGAAGGTGTGTCTGCCCTCAGGGGACACTCAGCTCAAGTCTTTGCTCTTGTGTCTCTCGGTTTCTCTGTGGGCCTCTCCTGCCCTTCTTACTAGGAGCCCCTGGAGGGCCAACCCCACAGCCTGTGTATCTCTCCTGACGGCACCAAGTGAGCACTCAGGAGGTATGTGTGGAATCAGTCAGAGACCCAACACAGGACTTCAGCAGGCAGCCCACTGCCCACATGCGCAAGGACTCCCAGCAAGGCGCAGGTTGCTGGCAGACAGTGTCTGGGCCTCAGATCTGCGGGTTCACAAAACGAGGGGGCCCGGCTCCTACCGACCTAGTTCAGTGATATGCCCTGCCTGCAGCTCCCATTCTCCCCTCCAGGCATGCACTGTGCCCACACATCCTTGTCCCAGGCCAGCTGGGCCTCCTCACCTGCCACAGCTCTGTGCAGTTTTTAGGAAGTCCCTTGCCGGTAGCCAGCCTTACTGCGTGGGTGGCAACTACACTCTCACCAGTGCTGGCCAAGGAGGGCTGGAGTGGAGGGGCCAGGCCCCCAGCCGCCAGCACAGGGGAGCAGTGTCTACTGCCCCACTTGACAGCTGCTGGCCAAGTGCCACAGCCATGCCCAGACAAGAGCCTGTGTTCCTGTAGGCGTCCCGAAATCAGGGCCTCTAGGGGACTCTCGAGGCAGTCCCTAGCTCCTGGGATGGGAAGAGGCCAGGCTTCAAGCCCCAGTGTGGCCAAACCAATCACCACTAGTGGGCCTGCCTCGGTGGAGATCTGTTACCTCTGTAAGCCACCAGGGGCCACTTTTGAGTCACCCACCTCTCCACAGGAGCTCCATCGGCCGTGTCTTTGCAGTGTTCCAGGAAAAAGGCCTGTCCTACCTGAGCAGTGGCTCTGTTTGCTAAACAACAGCGTGCCTGTGCCTCTCCTCGCCAGCAGTCCCTTCTGCAGCTGGAGCTGGCAGGGCATGCTGGTGCGTGCGTGTGTGCACGTCCTGCAAGTCTGTGAGCTCATCTCCCTTTCCTTCTTCGCAGTGTACTAACGGTCACTTGATGTGCGCTGGCTGTTTTATCCACCTACTAGCAGATGCCCGGCTGAAGGAGGAGCAGGCCACGTGCCCTAACTGTCGTTGTGAGATCAGTAAGAGCCTCTGCTGCCGCAACCTGGCTGTGGAGAAAGCCGTGAGCGAGCTGCCCTCCGAGTGTGGCTTCTGCCTGCGCCAGTTTCCCCGCTCCCTCCTGGAGAGGCACCAGAAAGAGGAGTGCCAGGACAGGTAACCGCCTGGGCCGGCCTGCCCACCAGAGGCTTAGCCACGCGTGTGGGGCCCAGGACGGGTCTGGAGGCCACCCTGGTGCAGGCGAGGCCGCAGCATGTGGGATGCTCTGGCTGTGTTGCCCTGGCCTTGGGTTCTGCACACATGGCCCGGTGACAGCCTAGAAGGAATGGGCTAGGGTGGAGCTACACAGGACCCAGGCCCTCGAGGGGCTGGGGGTGGGGGTGGGGGTGGGGGTGGGGGTGGGGCCCCACAGAGGGCAGGGGGCTTGGATCTGGACCCAGTGCCTGTTTGGACAGCACCCTGGCTCTCCAGGGTTCTCTGGCTGCATGGTGGCCTCTTAGAGGCTATCTGTCCTTGGCATCCTGGGGCCCAGGAGAGCATGACAAGTTCTAGGAACTTGGTGTGAAGCTGCACGGGCACCCCCACCCAGCCCCTGCTGGTTGACACTGCCCATCTGCCAGTGGGGCCAGGCCACCGAGCCTCGCTTGGCGTGAAGCTGCATGGGGTGCAAGACCATGGTCAGTGGCCACTGTTATTAAGCAGGAGAGAGAGTTCTCACAGCAAAGGGTGTAGGTGGCCTGTGTAGCCACAGCTCTCATGTGCTACTTTTCTCTCACACACACTCTGACCCCTTCCTGAGAGCTGGCACATGGGGAAAATGGCCTTCGGGGGGTAGTCTGTATATGAGCAGGGCTAGGCAGAGGCCCACCTTTGGAGGCCACTGGGCAGAGCCACCTCCCGCAGGGCGCAGGCCGTGACCACGGTGCTCGCCTCCTCCCTAGGGTGACCCAGTGCAAATATAAGCGCATCGGCTGCCCGTGGCATGGCCCCTTCCACGAGCTGACGGTGCATGAGGCTGCATGCGCCCACCCAACCAAGACGGGCAACGAGCTGATGGAGATCCTAGACGAGATGGACCAGAGCCACCGCAAGGAGATGCAGCTCTACAACAGCATCTTCAGCTTGCTCAGCTTTGAGAAGATCGGTTACACAGGTGAGGCGCCCCACGGCCCACTGCATGCCACACAGGCTGAGGGGGGGTGCGGCCGCTGGGAGCCTGGGGAGCAGTGGGCTCTGAGCAGCGAGCACAGGCCATGCTGGATGGCCAGGCTCTGGACAAGCTTTTGGCGAATGGGAAGACACCTTGGGGGCGAAGATGTGCCAGAGGCTGAGCAGGGGATGGGCCGGGGCAGGACCCCGGGGGCACCTGCATGGCTCTCAGAGGCCCTCTCACCTGTCCTCCCCTCCCCGGCCCTGCCACCCTAATGACGTGGCATCCTACTGGCGTGGGGCTGCACAGCCTTGGGACAGTCAGGGTCTAAGCAGAAGGTGGGTGTGTCTTGGAGGGCCCGGGAGCTAGAGGCCTGTCCTGTGGAGCCAAAGGCGAGAAGAGCACTCAGCACATCCGGTCCTGCCTGCAGGCAATTACTGCAGTGGCCTAGGGCTTCCTGAGGCCATCGAGAAGATGCTCAGGGGCGGGGCTCCTGAATGAGCTGAGGGTGCCCGGCTCAAAATGCAGAGCCGGGAGTGGACGCCCAGAGACGGGCAGGCTGGACCGCACTCGGGCCCACTGGATCTCATGGGCTCTCCTGGCCACGGCCACTGCCTTTGGACATGCTGGGGAGCAGGAACCAGGCCAAAGCCTGGTCCAGACACAGAGAACAGCGAGAAGCACCTGCTGCCACTGGGGCCACTCAGGGAGACTACGACCCTCTACTACTCAGCCCACACCAGGCAGCCGGCTCAGAGCATCAAGGGCGGTCGCAGGCAACCAGTCACACCATGCTGCCTGGACTAGGCCTTGGCTAGGTGTAGGCCTGCACAGGCCCGGGAGGCCGAGGGCCAGCAGCCTCAGCAGCAGCAGGTCATGGCCCCTGGTTAGTTGCAGCCTCAGCTGCCCTGGTGGGCGCCATGGCACAAACAGTCCGGGCCGGGCCTTGTGGGTCTGGGCAGGCCAAGGCATCATGATTGTGGCGGTGGCTGGGCAGGGATCCTCGTCCACACAGGAAGGACTGGCCACCTCCATGGAGGGACTCGCGGGCCGTGGGCCCCGGGCTGTGCTGAGAGAACTGTGTGACAGCACAGGAGCCCAGCACTGGGCCACACGCCAGCGCTCTGCCTTGCGCCCCGTGCGGGCTCACGTGCCACCTGCCTGCCTGCCCGACCGCCCGCCGGCTTTTCTGGCAGCTCTGTATCAGAACCAATAAAGTGCACTTGTTCTCAGAACGCATCCTGTCTGTGTGTCTGCTTACCCACGCCCCTGGGTGGGCCTCCCTCTGCCTGGGCTGGGCCCTGGGGGAGGCGAAGAGGGAGGCCAGCGGGGGTCGGGCCGCTCACTTCTTTCAGCCTCTGGACTCCCTGCAGCTAATGCGTGTTACTTCTGTTTGTAGTTGTTTCCCCCAAAGCTTGTGTGCGCCTCCATTTGCCATAATTGCGTTTGATTTGCCTTGTGACAAGCAGAGCACGCTGTGTCCTCCTGGTAAGTCGCCTTCCTCCCTGGCTGAGCCTGCATCCTCGGCCTTCGGAAGGCACCGCCACCCGGCCCCACCCACACTGACTGCCGGCTCTTCCCGGCCTGTCTGTCTCCACAGAGGTCCAGTTTCGGCCATACCGCACAGATGACTTCATCACGCGCCTGTACTACGAGACGCCAAGGTTCACGGTGCTGAACCAGACGTGGGTCCTGAAGGCACGCGTGAACGACTCGGAGCGGAACCCCAACCTGTCATGCAAGCGCACACTCTCCTTCCAGCTCCTCCTCAAGAGCAAGGTCACGGCGCCCCTGGAGTGCTCCTTCCTGCTGCTCAAGGGCCCGTACGATGATGTAAAGATCAGCCCCGTCATCTACCACTTTGTCTTCACCAACGAGAGCAACGAGACGGACTACGTGCCACTGCCCATCGTCGACTCTGTGGAGTGCAACAAGCTGCTAGCCGCCAAGAACATCAACCTGCGGCTCTTCCTGTTCCAGATACAGAAGTAGGCGGCGCCGTGCTGCCCGCGCCTGCCCCGCAGCGGCCTCGCAGTGCCGTCTGACCGTTTTAGCAGAGGAGAAGGAACAGATGCAAACATTGGGAAGGTCTGCATGCGTGTGCGAAGGTGTGAGTGCTCTCACCTCGCCCTCCGCCCCGCCTCCCCTGTCCCAGGCACCGGAGGCCGGGCCACCTGCAGAGGAGACGGTGGCTCAGGGACACAATGGGGCTAAGCCCGTGGCCATGCCCTGGCCCCCGTGGCGCAGTGAGGCGCACCATCTGCTCTGGGCTGCGCCCGGCCCCTGGGCCGGGCTCAGGGAGCACGCTGACTTCAGACGGCATATTTGATTGCAATTAAAAAGGCACCCTTGTTTCCTACTTTCTGTTTTGTTCGAGGGAAAGGTGTGGCTGTAATTGGACATCAGGGGAGCTTTGGTTTGGCCTGGGGGTCAGAGCCCGCAGGTCCTTGTTATTACGCCTCCATGCACGCCCCCCGCCAGAGACTCGGAGACACTGCCCCCTCTGTCACAGGCCTGGGCAGGGGAGCAAGCAGGACCCGGGTCTTGCAGCAGCCCCAGCGCACACATGCGCGCAACCACACACACACACACACACACACACACCCACACACACACCAGCTGCTCCAGAGATGCGCGCAACCACACACACACACACACACACACACACACACACACACACACACACAC